TAGCTCACACCCTGTCTAGTACTTGAGCAACGATTCAAAATCCCAGGGGATTCTGATGGGTATCTAGAGGCTGCCAAAGGCCATTAAAATCTTATCCTGGATGATTTAGGTTCAGGTCCATTGACTTTCAAAGAGATTTAAAATTCTAAATACAAGAAATTCAGTTTCAGCAGTAACTTATGCCACTGCATCGCTTGGCCAGTTTTCTAATGCAGATGTAAGAAGTCTGCCTATTTTTATTTAAATTCCTTTCAAACATTCATGAAAATAAATATCCCTGCTAGTCACTCGACACACTTTTTTTCTTGTTAGAAATCACCTACTAAAACATTCACTTCACTTCTGTAATGGCCTGGATAAGCATCAATAAGCGAAACATAGAAGTTACCAAAACTTTGGGGAAGTTTTACTTAGTGGGTAAGCATTACTAAGAAATAGAATCATAGAATCATTCAGGTTGCAAAAGACCCCTGGGATCATCAAGTCCAACCTCTAACGCTGCTCTATAAACCTCAACCCTAAACCACATCGAAAGGACCTTTAAACACATTCAGGGATGGTGACTCAACCACCTCCCTGTGGAGGTGAAGCTTAAGAAACTACGAAGCAAGGCAAACCATGTTGACAAGACTCTTTTCAAAATTCAAGTTATCCTGACTAATGGCTCTTTTTGCACCATTTCTGTTCCAGAGAGAAAAACACTAAGCACTTTATTCAAGAATTATAAATTTTGAGATAAATTCCTTTACTCCACCTGGAAAAGTTTCCAGGCAGCACATAGCATTGACTACAGCTCTGAAATTCTCAGAATAGTATCCTCTAAAAATCAGAGTTCAAACGTTTCTTTTAAATAGCTAAAGGAGCAGCTAGAGCAATGCAGGGTTTTTTTACACAGCATTTCTCTCATGAATTTTGATGTCAACGAATGCTATGAAACAGAACACTTGACCAATTTGTTTTTCTACTCATGCATCACATCCATCCAAATTCTAGCACCAAGAGCTCACAGTATATGGTAATTAAAACTGACGTTTTTCTCACAGCGCAAGGGACATCACTGCGTAACCACTTCAGGATTTACAGCACCAATTTAATAGAACACTTAAGCACATGCTGACCCCTGTGCATGCACAAACTCCGTTTAAATAAAAATACCCATGCTGAAGGCTAAGCGCTCCTTGAACCAGTACCCATAACTACAGAACCCAGTAAATCGCAGTAACAGATCTGCGGCACCTTCCACAGTTTTCCTAACAGGTTGGATCCTGACAGACCAACAGGCAACTCAATCTCCACTACGTCTCTAGGAAAAACACTTTCATCTGCTCCTCTTTTCCTCGCCTCGCAGGTTAATACAAGGCGAAAGCAGAAATGCACGTATGCTGCCCCTGTCCTGTTTATTCTGTGGAAGACTTTCATCCTCTTGTCAGTCTTGATCATGGCACCACACTGCGCAACAGAAGCAACCAGCATGGACTGTTCACATGTGAACACCACAAACTAGTCTCAGCTGTCTGTCTTAGCTTTCCATCTCACCTACCTTTCTCTCCTGCCTTTGTGTTTCACAACAGACCAACAACACAAATGCGTTCAGATGACCCTCAGCAGATGAGCCATCCTTTTACACATGAATGTCATCACTACGTAACCTTTCTCTGGTTTCTGGTTACTTAGGCTGGATGTGGCACTTAGTGCCATGGTCTCGCTGGTGCTGGTGTTGGGCCATAGGCCAGACCTGATGATCTCAGAGGCCTCTTCCAGCCTCAATGATTCTGTGATTCGTATCTCTTCCTAGGAAAGAACCTAACCCTACAGCCCTCCGCAGGGGGCAAGCTTTTAAGCTGTCATCACAAGAAAGGCTCTCAGGAAGGTACGCTTTCAACATTAAATCGCTCATTTGATCTTCAGAGGATGCTCTTCAAGTCTAACGATGCCTCTTTTTCCCTGCCTTTTCCAAGTGTTTTCTGGGTTTGACCACAAACACACACACATACAAGCCAGCTTACTCTTGTTAATTGACTTTTTTCTGAACACATGATTTTATTTGTCCCTAAAACACTTTACTGAAGAAGAGCAGCACAAAAAGCTAGGCTCATTCTTGAAGCACAAAAAGGCTAGTACAGTTGTACAAAGCCACGTAATTTATTTCATTTACTGCAACACGACCATGTCTTCGTAGACGGGATGGCAGAAGCAGGGGCTTCTAGGCTGTGCCTGTTCTCCAGATCCTCAGCTCACACTCAGACAACCTAGGAATGGCACATACCTATGGCCACACACCTTTCACACACACACTCGCTCAGGGTTATCTTCCCCTCTCCCCTATTCCTGTGCCCTGAATGAGTTTTGTCCTTATCTTTCTGCCAAATATAGTCATGTATCTTGGAAGCTGCAGCCATGCTTTCCTACCTCGCTATTTTCTGAAGCAATTTTTCCACCAAATTCTCTCACTCCAAACAAGATGTCATAACTCACCCAGCAGAATGATCTTTAGCAGCGCACACATATCCTGGTATATCAGCGACGTGCTGATGCAGAGAGGTTGCATCCCTCTAGTGTGTACATGCAGGTGCTACTGCATTTATGAAGACGCTAGGCCTTCTGATCTATAAGAACAATAATACTTGAGGGACAAAAGCCCACCCTCATCATTTTCAAGAAACCACTGCTCAGGTGAAACTACAAAACTCTACATCCAACCAGTCTCAGTCAGAAAGAACACTTGTTTGCATGCAATAAAAACAATTCACTGTTTTGATGCCATATTTTCCTGCTCTTTAGATATCCCTACCTGTCTGTGCCACCAAGTGGGTCCAGCCACTCCAAATTGCTCTGATCTTCTCATGTGAGAAAAAATGGGTCTCAATCTTCTTGGGCTCAGCAAGAAAGATGTCTTTGCTCACCAGTTGCCCGTGTTTGTTGCTACCCCAGACATATAAGTGTCCTTCATCTACAACAGAGAAATAAAATTTGTTCAAAGTGATATACATACATATCATCCCCAGATACTGGCCCTGTCTCAACTCAGTGATGCTGAGGAAAGAATGTTTCATTTAATTTGTGTTTTCACTGTATAAAACTCTTTACCACATGCCCACACACTGTAACCAGCACATCAGATATATTTCCAAGGACCTTAACGACATGGCCTGATTTCTGAGGGCTATGCTGACTCCCTGGAACAACCACGTTGAACAGCCTAGACCTTATTTTTACTGTCAGCCTCTCAAAAGACACTGAAAGATGTTTATAGCAAAGGGTATTTTTTTTTTTCTTAGAAAGCTAACTGTAGTAGTCAACTTCTGAGAGAAAAAAGAAAAAGTGTCTTGGGAACACTCACTGAGCAGTCCCTTACAGTCCACTCTGTTCTCACAGGTCAGCCTTTACTTCCACCCCAAAGCTTTGATTCAGATCAATAAATAACTTTCTCAATTGCAGAAAATAATGGAACTTGTCTCCAGTACTTGGGACTCTTGAAAGCCTGGCTGGCTGCTCCTGCTCTGCATGACAGTCTCTCAGCCTCTCTACGAGAGCTACAGACTCCCACGGACTCTCCAGCAATCTTCAGCTGGAGCAAATTCAGCAAGTCTCCCAAAGCTGGGGCAGTCTAATTCTCCTTGTCTCACCTTGCACAGTCACTTCCTAAAGGAACTAGACATGCAGCTACCAACATACAACTAAAGCAGGTACCACCCATCAAAAGGCAAAGTTAAAATATTGTTGTGCGTCAAAACCATGACAAACAACTAGTGAGAGACTTCTGCAAGTAATTGCTTGTCTTCCCCACCTCTTTTCCAGAACAAGCATCTGTGCAAGTGCACACTCCAGAATTCCACCCACAGGGATACTTTCGTTTTCAGAAGCATCCCCACCGCTTCATACGTTTCACCAGTGCAAGCTGAAGTTGCTCGTCACCTAACAACCAATTGACAGGAACGAGATGACTGTTCACACGAGTCCTTCTCCAGACATTACATATCATTAGTTTCATCTGTCAGTACAAAATCATTCCACCCAGGTACTAGGCCTCCATGCTAAAAAAATACAATCCACAAGAAACACTTAAGAGACCATGAGCTGCGTCAGGCCTCCCGAAGTCCTTTGGCACTCTGTACAAGCTGCAAGTGTAAGATGTAAATCTTGCACACGTGAAGTACAGGATCACGGGCCCAGAAAGACTGGATGCTGTCGCATTTTCAGTGTAGAATTATTCAACCACAACATTCAAGGCTTCTGGAAGTCTCAGGTCAGCGCTAAACTATTTAGAAACAGTATAACAGAAGTAAATCAGATTAAAAAAAAAAAAAAACAACCCAACAAAAAACAACCCACAATGTACAACACTAAGGCTTAGCACCCTATTCCCATCATCAGAGGCATCAGGCCAGTTTGGATACACACAGACCACAATTCTTTTCTTAAAGGAACCACCTTTCATGTCCGCAACAACAGTTGTGTCAAAAACCTGCCTGACTGCAGGTGCTTGGTGTCCTACCAGCAGATGTCTCATGAAACAGTGCCAAGGAAAACTGCATTACAGTGAAAGACTCCTAGGAAAAAATCCCCATTTAATTACTACACTCTGCAGTACTTTATTTACTATATCAAGTATCTTAAAAATACAAAGTATTTGAAGAAATAACAAGTATCTTGCAGGATGAAGGGCAGCAATAGCATCACGTTATTAAAGTCTCCGGCATTCACTTTGATAATCTTAGTCGCCTTGCTGCCAAATAGACTGCGCTCGTAAATAAAAAGCAAAAGCATGAAAGAATAATCTGTTCACTCTCTAAACACAGAGTGCTAATTAGCTAAAGTAGATTCTCTTTGTCCTTACAGTTGTTCTTCACTGATCGCACATACACTTTGCATCTCAGAATTCAATATAACTTACATCTTGGAACATCTCCTCACACAACTAAATCTCTGTAGCTCTGCATAAGCAAATACTCCAGTTCTCCTTTAATGATGACAGAGGTACCAGATGGTTGCATATTCGCTAAGAACTTGTTCCTATAAAGTTTGGCAAAGGCTTGTCTTTGTAAGGTTCAATATATTTTCCACACTTCCAAACTGTTAAGATTACAGCATGAAAAGCTATTCTGTTTCCCCTTCTCCCAGTCTGCCAAAAAATAAAAACCTTTATTAGACTTTCATTCCTGGCTACTTAACACTCCAGCACACAAGCACTGCCTAAAGATCAAAGAACAAGCAGCAGACATTATGGAAGTGCCTAAGTGATTAAAGCAACTTCCTACTGCTTTAAATAAGCCTCGTCCTCTTACAGGACCCCACACAGATCTGCACAGTGTTCTGCTAGAGCCACCCAGGATAGCTCCAGAGCATCTCACGTCCCTGCACAGTGCAGGGACGCTGCACCAGCCCATGGAGCAGAAGCAGGAAAGACTGCTGGGGCTCTTCTGGGACATCCCCCAACACACCTGTTCTCTGGGGACAAAGGCTTGTGCTGCTTCCCGCATCCAACCATCCAGAGTTACCCAGCAGGACATCATGCTGCAGCTCCACAGACTTACCCAACCATGTGCTTCCACAAACTCCTCTGGAGTTTCTAATCATTAAGTCCAGAGCCCAGACCCTTACTTAAGGTCTGACTTAGCCCTTACATAAGAACTAAGTCCTATCTCATCCCAAGGGAAAAAAACAAAACCAACACATTAAGTTGAGAGAATTCAAAACATTAATCCAGCTCTTAAAAGGAAAGCTCATGGAATGCAAAATTATTACGAAACAATTATCCAGTCAGTTTAATCAAAATTGCCAAATGTTTTCAAAGACCTCTATAGGCTAAGGACTGTCACTTCCGTACCTATGGCCTACCTGTGAGTGACACCGAATGACAGGAGCTTGCAGCAACTACCTTCACCTTTACATCTTCCAGGCCTAGGGAAAAATCAGTCTCATAAAAATTTGTACAGCAGGTATTATTTCATGCATAGACATGCAGACACCTGTAACAGGATGATGACTAATTTTATAACACAAGCCTCTGCTTTTGGCCCACAGACATTGCAAGACTCACTGTCATTGTACCCCATAGCTTATGACCTTGCATACCCATTCTATCCTTCAGATACTCCATTATATGTTTATAATAACGAGTGGCTTTATAATAAAAAGATGCTACATATCACTCCAAAATGCATTTCTGCTCTATCCACCTTTACAAGGGAATCAGATTCCTGGATTACCTGTTACCTTACAGGGCTCCTTTGCTGTCAAGAACAAGGGGAGTGTTTTTCCTTGGCTTGCACGCTTTGCCCGAGACGCCAGGCCAGTTCCCCACTGAAGCACCAAACCGCTCTCTTGCCAGAGTAAACACAGACAGAAGAGATCAAAACACATCAACCACCAGCAAAAACACTTAATTGATTGATTGGTTATAAAGGTACAGTCACTTCACTGAACCATTTTCACTGACTCAAATTACACTTTAAAAGACCCCTTATGCCAAAACCATAGGGACAACCCTGGTGAAGTCATCATGCGACAAACAGCTGCAGTCTCATTACACGGGTAAGAAAACTAAGCAGCAACCTGTCTCAGTTCTGAGGCCCACATCAGGACGTTTTTGAGGACTCAGTACCAGAAGTCCCACATCTGTAGCACCTCAGGAATTGATATAATTTACCCATTACTATAAGTTTTTTGCACTTTCTCTACCCTCTCCTTCTCTTCATGCTAATTTGCACAGTCCAGCACACTGTGGGAGTGAAGTTACTCATGTTAACTTGCACCAAAGTTTTGTATAAGACTTTCAGGAGTATTTTCCCTGTGATATCTAAAATAAATAGAAGCTAAAATGAATTTCAACTTCTTTCTTTCCCTCTCCTCCTCTAAGCCATTAAAACTCCATTTCATTTGTTACTGAAGTTATATTAAAATCATGACATACTTACCTGTAGCAGCAAGGGCATGTCTCAGTCCTGCAGCAACACTCACCACTTTCTCTTTGAGAGACTACTCAAATAAAAGAAAAATATATTTTAGTTGCTTTTTGCACTTAGTGTCTCTAAAACCAAAACACACCAAACCGAAATGGAATACTGTGAAAATAGCTGTCAAAAATTCAACCTGCGTATCAACATTTAGAGTCACAAAGGCAGTATATTTTGGTCAACAAAACCAAAGAAGCACAAGAATCACACAGAATCACAGAATTGTTGAGACTGGAAAAGACCTCCGAGATCATCAAGTCCAGCCTTTGACTCAACAGCCTCACAACAGCCAGGCCACGGCACTGAGTGCCACATCCAGCCTTTCCTGAGCAACAGACCAAAAAAATTGTCATAGCTAACTTTGCTGAGCTCTGTCATGCAATTTCATTTTTTCAGCACTGAATTATTATCACTTTGTTTTGCTTTGAACTATTAAGCAGAAACTTCCAACAAGGTGCAGCAAAGGCACACACTCTTCACACAGCAAAACGTTTCTAGTATCTTACAAACCTGAGGCAAAACTTCAGTTCGAGTAAATTTGCACAGTTTAACTATTTTTTATATCACTTGAGCATCAGACTCATTCTGTAGATATAATCAAAATACATTACGAAATGTTACAAATCCTAGGGAAAGCGAACTTTCTGTTAGAAGCAGCTGACTTCACACAACAAAGAAATGAAGCCTCAGCTTCTCATTTTGAGTCAATGACCATCTGTGGTCCTTTACTTCACAAGTTTATTGTAGCAGTAAAGCAGTTAACAGCAGTAAAGCTGTTAGCTTTATAAAAAAATAATTGAAGAGTCTGGCTTAAAGCTCACAGAGGTCAGATGCCCTCTGTAAGCTGCTGAAGTACAGAGCTCTAAAGCACAATTCCTTTTAAATCTTTACCTCAATCTTTTGTGGAATCAAGCATGGACCCAAAATTTGAGGAACTCCTAATTGTCCAAAAGAGTTTGACCCACAGGACAGAACTTGGCCGGATCCTGCAAAATGAAGTGTTAGAGCCTGATCAGTAAATCTGCGAGCAAAACCAAAACACTGTAACATTCTAACACACAAAATACCACAGGTGAGTAGCTCAAAACAAGACCTAAGGTGTCCTGTTCCAAAGCCCCAGAGGCCACAGGCTACTGTGCTCAGTAAAGTTCACTGGGACACAAGGAATATGAAGTAATTGAGTTTGCAAGGCAAATAGCTTAACACCTGTGAGTGCCTGTGCATCACATAAGCAATAGCAATGTGGAAGTTTCAGCGTGTTTTCTACATCAAGATAGTTCTTGAGCACTTAAGAGATTTACCTACTAATACAATTGTAAAATCCCAGCCACAGGCAACCTGTTTTACACAAAAGCCAGAGAGAGCAGTGCACAAAGTAAAATGCGATACATCCTCCGTGTGATTCAATCCCAGCTGCCCGTCTTTGTTATGGCCACATACAAAGAGTTCTCCCACACCTGGAAGAAAAAATAAGAAAAAAAAAATTTATGTTCTACTTCAGTGACTAAAAAGCCAAGCATACACCCATGAGATCCTGCGACAAATAAGGACAGTGGATACGCGTAATTTTAGGCATCGCCATCAAGCAAAAAGAAAAACGGTTGCTTCTGATGCATCAGAAAAATCTCTGCACAAGTACAGCTACAGAGAATTGGTTTTGTCAGGGGAGACAAAATCCATACAGTAAGACAGGCACTTCTCACATGATGAACTTTTTTATCACGTTCCCATCTGTACCCCTTCCTTCCCAGACTCAGCTATAGCATTCAGCAGAAGCTTTCAAAGACCAGATGGTATCTTTTGCTCCTTACCTTAAAACTTCTCAAAGTTAAATAACCTCCCACTTGAATCTTTCCTCTCACCCCTCCCATTCTCAACACAGAAAAAATTACTTCTTTGTATGAAAAGCTCTTATATGAAACAGGTTAAGAAACAGTCCTCACACAGCCACACAAGATAAGCAAAACACGAATTTTCCCAAAGTTTTTAAGTTAATGTGCACAGGAGGAACGTGTTTTGTGCCTGAGAAATGTACTTGCTCAGAAACAGGAACCACAGATAGATGGCAGCACCAAATCAACAGGGAAACAAAAAGTATTCAGAAGTCATACACTCCTTACAAGTGCAATGTTTTTACCAGTGATAACTGCGGAATGTCCCCCTCCTCCAGTAATGCTCTGAACGTCTTGACATTTGCAGGAAACATCTTTCAGTGGCTGAGGTACCAGCACATCCTCTTTATGCCCAAGACCAAGTTGTCCGTAGCTGTTGGCACCCTTCAAATACACACAGAATAACACATTTTTAAAAAAAAAAAATTAACAAAAAAAGATACACAACTGCTCACAAGAGCAAATAAGCTTATTAGGGACAAGCCACAAGTTAAATGGCCAGTATTTGCTCCTGAGAAGTTCCCAAAATGGTAATCTTCATTCTTATTACTGTCACACAGGACCCCCAGAATTGCAGCCCAGGACTGTCCTAAACTTACCATTATTAAGTCTGCCTTTGCAATCTCAGTATTTTAGGAAACATACTGGAATATATCCTGGTAAGACTTTAACTGCAGGCTCACAGTTACTAAGGAGAAAAGCCTCGTTATCAGGATGATTGCCACCTGTTTAACATTAATGCTAATGATTCCCACTCATCGGGAAGTTCTTATTCATGTCAAAGCTTTCTGGCAACCTACCTCCAAAACAATATCAGAGAGACACGCTACCTTGTTCTGGAACCTGAAAAACTAAGCCAGAAATGCTTATCCCTCGTTAATTAAGTCTTAAACTGGTCAAAATGAAAATACACCCACTAGAATTAC